ACGAAACAGTTTGTCACAGCCCCTCGTTTGTTGTCCTCTTCTCTCTCTCTGCCTACGGTTTACCGGGCAGTTCTGTTTGTGACGATATATAAGTAAGAGAAGTGTTTGAGCCAACCAACCACGGAGTTCGCCGAGTTAACAGAATAGTTATATATATGTATAAGAGAAGTGTTTGAGCCGACCAACCACGGAGTTCGCCGAGTTTTTGCTCATTCCGCTGTCATACTGGTGAGTTCGCTGGTCTTTCGCTCAGTCTGTTGTCGTACCGTCGAGTTCACCGATCTTCGCTGCGGAGTCCACTCTGAGCCCTTGTTCAGTTCGCCGAGTCCCTCACCTCAATCCTGCAGCGTCAGTAACAGTTGCCCACCTTTGGGGGTCAGAGAATGGGCGTCCAACATCCGCAAACTGTTTTTTTTTTTGGTTGATGCCTGCCAACGGAACCGGAGCCTGATTGTAATCTGCGAACTGCTGTTTGCTGAGATTTTCTGAGGTTTGCTGTTCCTGTGCCCCGCTGGTGCCTGCCGTTTCCACGGTTACTGCTTCGTGTTTCCTGTTCTGTGTTTGCTGTTTAAGTCCACTGTTCATCATTTAGGCCTCGAGTCTGTAAGCTCTCGATAGATTCTGGATCAGTCTTGAAGACTGGGTCACAGTCTCTGCTGTTTCAGAGTTGATACTCTCTTAGTTGTTGTTCGCTGAGGCCACAGGTCTGCTAGTCTTTCTGAGCCACCTGTTCACTGAGACAACACTTTCGCTGAGTCCCCAGCTTAACCGAGATGTCTGGCTGAGTCTCCGCAGTCCTGGTTTAACTTATTCCTGGAGTCTGTCAAGGTCACAACCACTATCTTGTGCAAATCGCTGTTGGTGTGACGATTGCGCCAGGAGTTGTTTGAGATCAGCTCAGGCAGTCCCTTACTGCCCTTTATAGATTTGATCTCTTTGACGGTCAGAGCCTGGCTGAGATTTACCGTGACGTCAAGACCGCTTTCCGATTCCCTGGCATTTCATGTATCACAGCTCCAATCAGTTGTGGTCACAGAGCACACTGTTAGTGCGTCTCCGCTGCGATCACACAACAGGCTCTCACTGTACTGGCTAGCACGACATAGCTGGGCTATTGTACCTCACATAGCACACACGCTCATTCACATCAGCTTACCATGCTATGGCTATGTGCTCTCACTGCATAGCAAAACGGAGCTTAATAGTACAGGTGTAATGCCCCGATAATATCTGAGGGACGTTAGTGACACTTTCGGCAATTCTACAGATTTTTAATGCAGCTGCAAAAGGCAATCAATAGCGGTTACCACCCCTGGGGGCTCGCTGCTCTTGGCGAAGCAAGTCCTCAACCTAACCCCAATCACTCAACCAGCACTACTCCCCCTTTATCATTCGAACAAGTTCACCCCCAGCTCGTGGTGAGAGCGTGTCCCTCGAAAGAGTAAATCAGAATTTATAGGAAACAGCAAGAGTTCGACTCAGGGCATTTTTGTAATTCCATGTAAACAAAGTGGCAGATTCGGTATTTCGATAGTTTTGTCAGTTTCTCTCTTCCCCATCCTTTTTTCTCCATATGTTTCAGTATGCTTCAGTCCATCTGCAGCGCAGGCATCCAAGACACTGTCATATTCTTCCTCTTCATTATACTGCAGCACACTCATTTTCCTCCCAATGAGACTGGCCCTTCTGCAAGAACATGTGAAAGGAAGCTGCCATATTCTTATCTCCCACGTTCACTCACCAAGCAAGAGTATAAACACGAACCTTCAGCAGGGAGCTGGAAAGATACATCAGGGTATTGTCTTTTATGCTCTCCACGAATCAATCTTTAGCAGACGAGGAAAGGCGCATTCTATTCTCCCCCCCTTCTTGCACACACACAGGTGCAAATTCTCACCAATTCAAACGACCCTTGAGCAGCGAATGAACCTGGAGCACATCCGCGTCCAGATTCTTCTTCTGATGCCTGGTATGATCGTGTGCGTGGCCCTTGGCAGTGTGTCCGCTACTCACAGCACCACTAGTCTTTTCTCCCCATGGCTCTCTCTCTCTCTCTCTCTCTCTCTCTCTCTCTCTCTCTCTCTCTCTCTCTCTCTCTCTCTCTCTCTCTCTCTCTCTTGTGCATGTCTGTGGAGCTTTCGTTGATTGATGCAAGTTCCCCCTAGTTGTGTGAGGGGGTGCCCCGCGTGTGAAACAACAGAATAAGATGAGCCTGCATCACGAACAAGGGCAGTTACACTGGCTTGTACTCTACCTCCTGTTGGTCTATACTCACCGAACGAGTAAAACTGAAATAAACGTGCAGCTCAAACATTGCAAGATACACCGATGGATCTGCGGCTCGAACATGGAATGATACATTGCCATATTCCTTCTGAGGGCGCTACAGTCTCTCCCTTGAGTACTTACCAGCGGAGAATGAACCTCCATCAAGAACACGGGAAGGTGCGCTGTCTCATTCTCGTCTGCAGAAGTGCTGCAGTTCCTTCGTTTGAACATCCATCAAGAAGATGGGAAGGTGCTTTCCCTCACTCTCGTTGCTGAGTACCGCAGCACGTTCGTTCATTCAATCACGAGAAGTTGAGAATGAATCTTCAGCCAGAATGCGGATGGATACACTAGTATATCCTTTTTGTATTAGGTGCGCTGCAGCCCTGTCCTATTGCTCATCAAATGACGGAACGTGAGTGTTTCCTCAGCGTGAATAAGGTGTGGCACCCCACCCACCCTCGTGTTCGATCACGATCTATCAGAGGACCGTAGCCCGGCTGATTGGTTGCAAATCCTGATTGCTAGTGTCCAGCTTGATGGTCCCTAGTCACGTGATAGGTTGAAATGGTTCGATTTGGTGTGATCACCCGATTGGCTTGATTAGCAAGCCCGTGCGCACGTGTGTGTCAGCCAGGATCGCAGTCCCCATCCACACACTTCCCCGCTAGATCCTACCTCGCAAGTTCCTGTTGGGGAAGGGTTACCGTCCGTGCATGAACACAGCCAAGGAGACACCCTCGTGCGGGTGCGCACCAAGTCTCATTTCGTATGAATCAAGCCAGGCTCCTCCTCTGGTGTGCGCTTCGATCGTGGCCTTCGGGCGCACAATGTCCCTCTTCACAGCCACGTGCACTTCCTCTCCGGTAGGCAAGGAGCACTTGATAATCGAGAGATTTGGGCGCCGACCGTGCCCCTCCCTTTAGTACGTCCCGACCATCTTAATTAGCCGCACCAGCTTCCCCGTGTGCTTTCTTGGACATAAATGCGGACCGGGGAGTTGTCCCGGCTCGCGCTTGATTGGGGTGCAACCCCAGTGCGTTAGTGGGCGAGCTGCTCCCCCTCCTCTCGTGCGCCGTACGTGGTAAAGCCTCCATTGGCCCCCTTCGTGCGCGCTCCCATAGTGCCTCCTTGATGCCCGCGGTATCTGTTTGCGGCTCGTACGTCTGCCACTCTCCCCTTTGAGGACTGGTGCACCTGGAAACCAACACACTCTCGCGGACCCGTCCCTCCGGTACTACCCCTCCGGATCCCCCCAACAAAGGGCCCAGTCCAGCTTAAGTACTTCGCTCGGCCAGCAGCAGTAGTTTTCATCCTACTGGTACCACCGAGAGTCGGGCGCGTTGTCCAGAAGATTGCAGCGACCCGGTACCAGACCCAGCCCTGAGCCAATGCCCGAGCCTGTTTCGTCCTCCGAACAGGCATGAGTGCGACCAGACAGACCACACTGTCGGGAACTCGCAGCAGCCCGATACCCAAGCTATCCCGAGCCTCGAGTATTTTTCCCAGATTTTTGAATTGGCCCTCGTCATTAAGGCTGCTCCTGCGCCAAATCGAAGGTACCACCCAATTTAATGTATTCTCCCTACTCACGTGGTTTCCCGCGTCCCTGTTGTCGATGCTCTTTATCTATGGTCAGCCGCTTTCCATCAAGACCTCTCTCAAAAATCGAGTCATAGCAGTGGCACTCGGAGACTCGCCAAACTTCGACGGAAGGCCCGGCGCAACTCTTGAGATATCTGCATCCCGTAATTATAATTCAACGACGGTCGCAAGTTCGGGTCACCCATTCAGTGTACCGCGATTTAACATTAGAATTGCCTTTTTTTATTGAAATAATAAATTATCCAGTTACCATCGAGCCTGGGAAAATTCACCCTCCTTGACCACTATTTTGCCATAGTCTCGCCTGAACTTGGTTTTCGCCGTGTCGTCCATCCCTCATCAGCCAATCGACTCTCGTCCGCTCGATCCGCAAGGTGAAAGTCGTTGGCACAGGCCACTGTGCGAAATCCGACCCTCAACTGTAGACTCTTCAAAGGAAGTAAAGGGCGGCGTAAGGCCTGGGCCGCCCAACAACGTGAACAATGCTGATCCTCAAGGCTGAGCGCACTCGACTCCTCACATGAAAGGACTCTCAAGACAGAACACACATCCTCACGGTAAGAAGTATCGAAGAGGGTGGATAAGGTTAAAAGCAACGTACCTCAAAATAGCTGCCCCCAACCACAGATATTCTCACCAGATGACCTGATGCCGATCGTGATGACCAATCGCTGCTTCGACACAACCAGCATTACACCGCCGTTCCACCTCAGCATCAATCGCACATCAGAGAGTTCTCATCACACTGCGAACACCCAATATACACCACGTAGCCTTCCTGGCGATACCCCTCACCTCCTGGGTTGCCCTACTTGCCTTTGCCCTCCTCACTACACACTCCCTACGGCCGCTCGCCCAGCAGACCACATGCATGTACCGCATAGGCAGAAGACAAGCGCGAGATTAGCGCACCGTACCACAGCTCCGATACCAAATGGCAAGGAAAATGAGCGATAGCAAACTTCAGAAACCAAGCAGCATCATACACATGAGACCAGATAGTCGTGACCTCGAACCAAAAGCAGAATTGCAACACGAGTTTCACCAAATAAGAGCACAGCAAAAGCTCATAAGTGACAATGTTGGAATAGTCTCATCATCATCAACAAGGAACCAATGTCGACATCCTATCTGGCGCTCTGCGCCCAGACTACAAATGGCAGATCCTATCTAGCCTATTTACAACGCCGCTGGTGACGTCAACAGCTCCCCGAAGTACGAGAAGATCTCGGCCAATGCCGTTCGCCTCAAGCACCAGGTATGTCTCTCGTATCACTCACAACCTCGATCCCCACTCACAGATGCCACGTGCACCCAAGGACTACCATGCGCCCCATCCAGCATGGCGCAGCTCGGCTATGGCTGCCTGCTTATCCAGGTCGCCTATGAACGCGTGAGCGCTGGCCAGCGTCTAGCACAGCAGAGCTTGCGCAGCATGCAGCCAGTGCATCCGGAGTGCTGGGGCAGGCACTTTCCTAAATGGAAGTGACCTGCCTGCTGCGTGCGGCCTGCCTGCATTGGGGCTTGGTCCAGAAGCTTCCGGTAGGCCCCGTGAGGCTGATCCCCAGTCCGAACAAATCAGGCCCAGGGCCTGTGGTGGTTACCTGTGCCCAACTGCCGCAGCCTGTGTTCGGCCCATGTTGCGTATCTGGCCCAGGGCCTGCCTCAGTTACATACGAAAAAGGCAGCCTGGGCCTGGGTGCTCTCAACCAACTGGCGCTGCGCAACT